TTACAAATATTAATCTAAATTCAATAGCCGTTAATTTATATTATCACAAATTAACAATGAAAAAGAAAACAAATTCAAGATGAGGAAATTAGATAGAAAAATACATCCCCTGATAAAACACAATGTACTGTAGGAAAATGTTACTACTGTCAGATCATCTGGCGAATCGTGATGGCATTCTTTGGGCTGGGACAGCCATTTCACTCCTTGTGGTTTGTCTAAACCAGGGCTACTCAAGTTTGGAAGCCCTTGGGGCCACAATGATACTCACAGCACATGCTGAGGGCCGCAACTTAAGTGTGGTTGCATATACATGCAAATATATATGCAAATATATGCAAATAGCTTCATTCAGACTGACAGGCATGAATACAAAGATTAAGACAAGACTACACAACACACAGGCCCCATTTAAGTCAGTTCTGCTGATATTAATAAAATGCAATATTTATCTGGTTTCCACCCATATGACAGCACCTTTAATGAGCAATGACAGTCCAGGAATTTGACTACTAAAATGCATATCAACAAAAGACCATTATATTGACTCGCTGTCGTGGAGCGTGTTCCCAGTGGAGGCCATGCTCAAAGGATCCCACCCATGGGCTGCATGTTGAGCACCTCATAAACCCAAATTGCACTGCGGGCTGCAAACAGACAACATGTTAAGTAGCTCTGGTCTACACAGTGGCTAGCAAAGCTGTGTATAATCTGTAAAGTGCTCTAATATGCTGCCCTTTAGCTGTCCTGTGTAGATGCTAAAAAGTACATAGTTCATATTACGGTAGTCGTCTTGGAGACAGTTTGACACTGGATTCATTTCATAATCCTTAAACCACCTCTGATAGACAAGAGAGAGACAAGGACGGTGAGGTAATAACTTTTACTGGACTAAGGTCTGTTGGTGAAAGACACAAGCTTTCAAGGGTACACAAAGTTTTCAGGTCACCTCTAGATGATGTCTATCAAGTCTAGTCTTGAGAATCTGCAGCAAAGGTGATTTCACATCTTCCCTTGATATCCTCCCTCCCCACACACACACACTGAATAAATCCTCTAAATAGATTAAAATCTTTCCTTTAAATGTAAGTGGAATGACCCAGGTAACTATAGACTGGTTAACCAGACCTCAAACCTCAGTCAAATTAATGGCAAATCAGGGAGTGTATTCAATCAGGAAAGAATTAAAGAGTAAGAAAATAATGAAAGCCAATCAATATGGTCTATGAATAATAGCTCTTGTCATAGAAACCTACTTTCATTTTTTTTAATGAGATTACAACCTTATCTGATAAAGGTAACTGTGTAGATGTAATATATGAAGACTCTTGTAAGGCATTTTATTCAGTATCACATGATATTGTAATGAGAAAGAATAAGCACAACACAATATTATAAAGCACTGGGTGACAGTGGGGTATGTCTACACTACAGGATTCTTTCAGTGGTACATACTTGCATATCTCTGTCTGCTTATAAACAGCTATGTAGGTGGTGAGTCCATGTCTCAAGGTTGTGGGCATATAGGCACGTACATGTCCTACTTGCTCTCTGTTTGCCCAAGTCATGCCCTCCCTGACTACATGGCTATTTTTAGGCTCATCCAGTGGGGAAAGGCTCTTTCTACTCCCTGCCTGGTTTGGCTTGCTGCTGGGGTTGGGAGCACCTGTCTATCTGCCTTTTCATCCTTCACAGAAATGGAGGATGATGTCATTGCAATGAGGTAAAACAGTTTTTAGCCTGTTTCATTTGGGGCCAGCTTTTATGAATTCAGGAGGAGGGTGAAAGTAACTTACATTCCTCATAGGTACTGTCTATTGAGCGGATGATGAGACCGCAAGTGTGAACAGTCTGGACAGGGGATGGGGGATAATAAGTGCATATATAAGACAAATCCCTGAAGATTGGGAAGGTCCTTATAAAATCAGGACATCTGGTCACTAAATTAGTATAGTACTACCTATTTAAAATGTAGTTGCCTAAAATCACATGTTGAGCTATCAGCAAAACCAAGATAGAACCTAGCAGTCTGGGCTCTGAATTTCTCATAACAACAATGCCCCCCCACGTCTGATATGAAACCAGAGCCTTCCTGAATTTTTTTAGTAATTTACATTTGAAAAATTAACTAAAGTAATGCTAGGGAAGGCAATTCTACGAATACTTAAACATGTGAGTAATTTTATTCCCATCACTTAGTCTCATTGAAGGCAACAGGACTACTCACTTAAAGTTACTCATGTGCTTAAGGAGCAGTCCTAGGACAGAGCTGTACAAAAGTGTACTAATAGTAACACATATGCTACCTACCTCCCAGAATGTCGTGATTCCTTATCTGGGGTTTTGCGCCTTTGAAAATTGCACCCTTCATCAATTATGATTATTCGTATTTAGCATGCTGGGTTGAGGGCACTAGCTAAGTACTGATTTATTAATATTAACAGGTAATATTTCAATTTGTGACATTTTTCTTTGTAGGTCAGGAAGACTGGGGTAAAGCTCAAGCACATTTGTTATGGAACATTAGTTGGAATATATAGATTGCCCTAAAAGGAAAGTGCAACTCACTGAGGGTTTGACAGCCTTAACTGTATCCTACATACATAACTGAATACAAAATCATTTTGGATCCCTTCGCTACTCCAGTTTGGTTCTAATTCCATTATTTGTACATTGTTTGCCAATAATTAGCAGCTGTTACAAAACTTTGTCTTGTGAATACAAAGAAACAGTAAAGAACTATAGATCACATAACTGTCAGGTGACTTGGATGAGATCCTAAATGGGCTAAAGGGCAGCAGATCCAAAAACAACAGAACTACTCCACCCACTACTTGGGACGCCAGCCATACCCAAAGCATTATAATTATAAGCAGAACGGAGGATTAATAACAAGTATGCAGGCATCCTTTAGGTTTGTCTACATTTAAGATGGTGTATTTTCAGCTGTTCCAGTCAAGAGAACTTGGGCCAGATTCTGCCACTTTTACTCATGTTGGGTACCACCTTTTTCCATCAGTATCGCCACTGAGTTCAATTGAACTACAGGCTGAACCTCTCTGTCCCAGCACCTTTGGGACCTGAGTGGTCCCGAACCATGGAGTTTGCTGGACGAGGGGAGGTCAGGCTCTGCTCCACGCCATACCACCTTCCCCACTGCCTCCAGGCCCAGCCTGGGCTGTGCTAATAGAGCTAAATCCATCTCAGAAATATCTTTCTTCCTGGTAGTCTTTCATCATGTGTGCTCTTGGGGCTAGACTAAAAGAACTGTTGAGTAACAGCAAACAAAGCTGTTTTCCTCTGACTGGCACTTTACTAGCAATGGTGAGCTACATACAGCAATATATTCTAATCTAAAGTACACAAAAAATTAGCACACAAGACAGACAGTCACTCCCACAGGGTGGGATCGGTTGTCTCCCACTTTGATGGAACAGATTTCAGTATGAAAACCACATTTTGGTATTAATTATGCTCTTTGTAACTAAAGTCACAAACAATAAGGTAAAATTACAAAACAAAAAGACATCTTAAATGCATCTAATGTGCTTACTGTTGCAGTAGAAACCACTTCTTGGCTATCTGAGCATTTCGCACACTCACCTCATGGCTGTCTGATAAAGTAAGAGAGCAATAGATTATTGATCTTTTTTTATATATCTCAGCAACATATCTTGGGACGATGAATGGGGCCAGAATCAAAAACATTATGTTGCAACTACAGTCATTCACTTGGTCTGTCCCTTCCAACTCACTGAACAGCAAAAGAGGGTGCAAAAAGGAAAAAAAAGTGGAAAATGCTACTTTGTTAAAAGCTTCCAAGTTATTTTAGAATAATGCTACAGAAATAAAGGATAGGATAAAAAATTAGTCAGCAGGCACACATGCGTGAAGACACACACACACACACACACACACTACAAGCTGTTCTCTTCGTGTAGTTACTTTAGTGGGAGATGTCTGGGCATGTATTGCATCTACGGCAAAATGTTGTCCCACACTCCTTAAGCATGGTGTACTCTGCTGAGTTAGGTGGATACATGGCAGCTTGCATGGATCTAACTACAGAAGTGTCCATGATAAAGTGTTGCTGCCGCTGACAGAACTGCTCAGCTACGCTGACTTAATATCTCTATCCTCATAAGAGGACTGAAGTCAGTGTTGATGCAGTGTAAGTATAGATTCTGCGCGGCTTACATGGACTGTTCCTGGCTTTCAGAAGCCATCTCACAATGTCGCACACTTACAGTACGATTGATACAAGTGCTCTTGGTGAGGATACACACTGCTGACACAAGGAGCAAAGTGTAGACATGCACAGCAATGTAATTACTACAACCACAGCTCTATGCCGATGTAAGTTAGGTCAACTTAGTTTTGTAGTGTAGACACAACCTGAGTGCTAAGAAAAAGAGCAAGAGCTATTGTTAGGTAAGATGCTAAGCAAAGTTGCCCTCTTTGCTCCTAGTGGCTGAATTGCACTAGCCATTGTGAAGAGCTGGATGATACATAGAAAAAGAGCAGATGATCCTGTGGTGAGCAACAGAAGGGCAAAGCATTGCAATTAATAATATCATCAACCAACTTTTACTCAAAGCCTGAAATAACCTTGAACTCAAATGTTTGTGCCTGAGGCATTTGTTTGGTAGGTTACTGTGCATTTCAATTTCGACCAGAACCAAGGCTACCAAAATAAACTCCAGGAATGGCCTGATAAATCAGCGAGGATTAGGGATGACTGGCAGTGCTGTGAAAGAGCCTGTTCTCATGAGATTTCCATCCAGATACCTAACCCAAAGAGGTTTCTCACTGTGAATTTACAGAACACTTTTCAGCACCCATTGATGTAATCTCCTTGCTTCCTGTAAAAGAAAGAAAAGGCCTTTCTGCATTGTATCTATGCAAATTATGGTAAAGAAGGCAATATAAACTCACCTTTTAAGACTCATTTGATCTGCTAACACCTGAAGGACAAGGCCTTTTAGGCCTCAAAGCTGGGGTATTAGTTTGTTTGTTGGTCTAGGAAAAGCTATCCTATTACCTACACTTTCCGGACAATGCAATAAGCACAGGAGGTGCAGCAGATTTTTTTTTTTAACCCACAAAAGCCAGGAAATACATAGTTAAAGTTCAAACTCTATCCCAAATGCACCATGTTTTCTTTATGCGACTACTGGGGGTCTCCAATCAGTAGGGGGAATCTCACGTGCCACAGTTGCTGCACTGACACAATAGATTTAAGGATGGAGTTTCCAGCTTTAACTTGAGAGAGTCTTTGTGTTTGTGGATTCAGGGCAGACAGTTAATGTTACCTGGATAGAACTGCAGTTTGTTTTTACTTTATATTGTGTTCTAAAAAGGGGTCTGGGGAAGGGAGAAGCCTGGGAAAAACAAACTGTGCTGGAGATCACGACAGCTTCAAAAGCAATGTTAGGGGTCGCCCACCTCACAGACCAAATAAAATATGCCCTCTGAATCTCTCCCTGGCTTCCACATTGGCAATGTCTACACTGAAGGCTTCTTGCGCAAGAACGGTTGTTCTTGCGCAAAAACTTGTGGAGCGTTCACACTACAAGCCCGTTCTTGTGCAAGAAAGTTTACAGTAGATCATCAGAAGAGAGGGCTTTTTGCGCAAGAGTTACTCCTCGTCCACACTGCCCATGGAAGCTCTTGTGCAAAAGCACATCTCTTGCGCAACAGCACATGGCTGTGTGGACGCGCTCTTGCACAAGAACTTTTTGCACACGAACTCTTGCTCAAAAAGTTATTGCGCAAGAAGCCTGCAGTGTAGACATAGCCATTATGTTTAATCACCTTGCACTAACCCTTGCACATGGTTCTGTGCCTGGCATCATCTCTGTTCCTCCTGCTCCAGCTCTCGTTGCCCATCTTTCTCCTCCCAGTCCTTGCATTTGAACACGCCAGGCCTGATTCTGTCCTCACTCGCAGGCACTCTTGTATCTGTCTCCTGTGTTTGTTTGTGTACCGTTTGGTGAGCACTAACCATGTACCCCTTTTGCTTGGCCCTTCTACCCCTTGCTTGTGACCTTCTCCTCATTCCAGCCCTTCCTTAAAAACAGAGTCCATGGGACATGAGTTCCTAAACTCTATACACTTCTGAAAATGTGTCCCCAACTTGGTCACCGCAGGTCTTCCCCTACATTTGTATAGAACTATGCTTATCGTTAGCACCAATCAGTTCAATGGTATGATAATGGATTTATGCATCACAATATGTTTGCATTTTCTATATGTATTCACAATATACATTACAGTGGCCTCTTTTGAATATTTTAATAGAGACTTTCTGAATAAGTATTAAAAACACGGTTGATCTGTGCACTCTGGATCCCCATTACAGACTATCCTTAGTGATCTATATACTGTTCTTGGCTTCACAGACTTCTTAATATTCAGAGGAGTAGCAGAGTTTGTCTGTAACAGGAAAAACTTAAAAAAACAACAAATAGTTTAGTAGCATCTTAAAGGCTAACAAAACATGTAGATAGTATCATGAGCAGGGCCGGGAGGAGGCATGGGCGAGCCGGGCAGCTGCCCGGGGCGCCAACTGATGAGGGGCACCTGATGGCAGCTGTAAGGGGCGCGCAGCGTTCCTTACAGCTGCCATCAGGTGCTGCGAACAGGAAAAACTTAAAAAAACAACAAATAGTTTAGTAGCATCTTAAAGGCTAACAAAACATGTAGATAGTATCATGAGCAGGGCCGGGAGGAGGCATGGGCGAGCCGGGCAGCTGCCCGGGGCGCCAACTGATGAGGGGCACCTGATGGCAGCTGTAAGGGGCGCGCAGCGTTCCTTACAGCTGCCATCAGGTGCTGCGTGCCCGGCTCCCGGATCATGGGCTGCAGCCGGTTCCAGGG